TCTACATAGTCATGTCATTTGTGAAGAACGACAATTTCTTTTTTTTTTTAAGATTTTTATTTATTTATTTGAGAGAGGAATGAGATAGAGAGAGCATGAGAGGGGGGAGGGTCAGAGGGAGAAGCAGACTCCCCGCTGAGCAGGGAGCCCGATGCAGGACTCGATCCTGGGACTCCAGGATCATGACCTGAGCCGAAGGCAGTCGCTTAACCAACTGAGCCACCCAGGCGCCCAAGAACGACAATTTCTAATCGTTATTTTTTTGGGGGGGAATGAGGGGAGCATTTATTAAAATGGCTAGACCCTTGAATATAGTGTTAAATAGAAATTATGATAGTAGGTATCCATTTCTTGTTGCTGATCTCAGAGCCAAAGTTCTCAACATTTTACTGCTAAGTATGTTTGCTATATTTTTTGGTAACTTCTGTTACATAAAAGAAGTTCCCTTTTGTTCCTAGTTTACTAAAAGTTATTGTTATGAATGTGCATTGCATTTTCTATATCTATTGAGATGATTATAGGATATTTATTCTTTATTCTATTAACGTGATGAATTACATTAATTAATTTTCTAATGTTAAAGCCAGTCTTGGATTCTTGGTCATGATATTTAGCCTGATTTGATAAGCTAATATTTTGTTTGTTTTTGCATCTGTGTTCATCTTGTGATTCTTCCACCAGGGTTTGTTATCAAAGATATGCTAGCCTCATAAAAAGAGTTGAAATGTGTGTTTTTTTTTTTCCTTCTAGTTTTTGGAGAAATTCACTGATAAAACCATCCTGACCAGGCTTTTTTTTTTGTGGGAAGATTGTAATTATAGATTCAATTTCTCAAAAAGATAGGATTCTTTTGGTATCCCATTTCTTCTTGTATCAGTTTTGATACATTACATTTTTCCTGGAGTTTATTTCATTTAAATTTCAAATGCTTCAGTATGAATTTGATCAGTTTTTTTCAGAGAACTAACCTTTGACTCTGTTAATTCTCTTGAATGCTAATTTCTGTTATGATATTTTCCTTGATGCACGGGTTACTTACAAATATAGTGATTAATTTCCAAGCATTAGGATCCCCTAAGTATGTTTATTATTGATTGCCAGCTTAATTCCACTAAAGTCAGCATACTTCATATAGTACTTTTCAAACTATCTGTGATAGAGGACTTGCTTCTTTTCCCCAATCTCTGTTGGACTAGCAACTTTTTAAAAAATATAATAAAAATGAATTTATTAGAAAATTGAAGTAAAAAGAGATTTAAGAGCAAAGCCCCAGGTTTTTTTTTATTATTATTATTAGATTCTACAGATACACACTACTAAATAAATGGCTATATTTTCTAAACACTTATTCTCAATATCTAAACCTATCTAGTTGTGGTCCATTAACACCTGTGAACCAGCCCTAGTGCATGAAACACACTTCCAAGTTGCACTGCTTGTTGCGATTTGAGTCTTCAAAGTTTGTTGAGACTTGCTTTATAACCTAGCATGTGGTCAACTTCAGTAAATGTTCCTCATGCAGTTTAAAAGAAGGCATATTCTATACTTGCAGGGTGGAGGGTTTTATATATGTCATTTAGATTGTTTGTTCATCATGTTTTTTAACTTAACTATATTGAGATATAATTTACATGTAATAAAATATGTCTGTTGATACGCACTGTTTGATGGATTTTGACAAATGTATACACCATGTAACTGCTAATACAATTAAGACAGAACACTTTAAAACTCAAAAGGTTCCTTGGTGCCCCTTGCCATTACCAGTTCCTAACCCCAACTGGGGCAATCACCATTCTACTTTCTGCCACTATGGATTACATTAGGTATGTCTTTTTTTTTTTTTTTTTTTTTGAGGGGGAAGGAGTCCCCAAGGGAGAGGGAGAGACAGAATCTTTTTTTTTTTTTTAAAAAGATTTTATTTATTTATTTGACAGAGAGAGACACAGTGAGAGAGGGAACACAAGCAGGGGGAGTGGGAGAGGGAGAAGCAGGCTTCCCGCCAAGCAGGGAGCCCAGTGTGGGGCTCGATCCTAGGACCCTGAGATCACGACCTTAGCCAGAGGCAGACGCTTAACGACTGAGCCACCCAGGCGCCCCAAGAGACACAATCTTAAGCAGGCTCCGCTCCTATTATAGGGGCCGATGTGGGTCTTGACCTAACAAGCCCTGAGATCATGACCTGAGCTGAAATCAAGAGTCAGACGGTTAACTGACTGAGCCACCCAGGTGCCCCTAGATATGTCTTCTCTAATATTTCATATAAGTGGAACTGTGTAGTATGTACTATTTTGTGTCTGATTCCTGTGAAGGATATAAATAATGGGCTCATCACAGATGTTGGGCTCATCACAATGCATTTTTCTTATCTCTAGGATCTTGGCTCTCAAGACCTGGCTGACTTGGTAGAACTCTAGTGCTTTCATACTAATGTGTTTGTATTTTTTTTTAAAGATTTTATTTATTTATTTGACAGAGAGAGACAGTGAGAGAGGGAACACAAGCAGTGGGGAGTGGGAGAGGGAGAAGCAGGCTTCCCATGGAACAGGGAGCCCGATGCGGAGCTCTATCCCAGGACCCTGGGATCATGACCTGAGCCAAAGGCAGCTGCTTAATGACTGAGCCACCCAGGTGCCCTGGATGTGTTTGTATTTTATTCAGCTCTTCTAGTTGGTGTCAGTGGTTGATCTAAAACAATAGTTTATGGCAGCCAAAGGCAGAAGAGCTCTGGCAGTATTTAGTGAAGGTACAGTGGTATAGAGATCAAGTGTGAGGGTGAGTGTTCTAACCAGATGGAATTCAGATGACTCTCCCAAGAAATTTGAGCAGGACTGAAAGATCCAAAAGTAGATTGTGTCCATTAAATATAGGATATGTATCCTACATTGTTATTATATCAGTCAAGATTCAGTGCCAGAAACTGGATGTTCTAAACAGGAGAGCATTGAGTACAATGGATTAGTGGTTACAGATTGTTGGGAGGTCTGATGGAGTAAATTCTAGACTTGGCCTACAAAAATGACTCCCCAAATAATGATAGAGCTGCTCTGTCAGGGAGCTACAACCTCGTAGACTGTCACTAGAACTGCACAAGTGCTAGCAAGAAAGCCTTTCTATCACTTGAGCCTTCCAGATCTCACAAGACTGCCCCTCATGGATAGATCCTAATTTTAATCAAACACTACTTGAAGAGAATATAGGAGTTGTAGTTTTCCAGGTTTTAGGAAGACAGAATGAGGGTAGAATGAGAGCCAGACCAAAGTTTCTACCATGCACATAAATCGAAAGTTCAGTGTTCCTCTAACTTAAAGAGGGTGAGTGGTAGTTCAACAGTATTCTAAATAAATTGTCAGTTCTTTTTCTCTAACTTTGCCATCAGTAAATGTAATATTTAATACAACTTTTAATCTTAAGTGCCTTTGTTTTTTTTTTCTATCTGCTAAATGATCACATTATGGCCCATGATTTAAATATCCAGAGTGCATATAATCAATTACAGGTTATATTTGAGTTCTATTAATATTTTAATATTAATTGAGGACTTAGAAAATGCCTCGCATTACCTTGGTAGCTCTAAACATTCAAACATCTTACCAAGATTGACATTACCTAATTCTAAGATCATTTTCAGAGATAATCATGAAATCAATTTATTTCATAACCAAGGGCATATGGAAACTTTCATCCACTTCATTTGTAATTCCTACTGTATATTCAAGGTCACTCCGTGATATATTCCGTAAGTGTTTATAGCAATTCAGATCTTGATATGGAAATGTCAGTAGTATCCTCAAGGGCAAAAAGCAAAAAGCTAAATATAGTTTCCTCCAGCATTGCCCTTTCTACTACAACACCATGTTTGTTGATCTGTTTTCCCTGCTTTCTTCTTCCTATATAAACTGGGTGGTATGATATTAATAAAAGGCTTGGATATAGTCTGGACAATTTACACACCAATGCTATCTAGATGTGTTTTGGTTTGTTGTAAGCTACTGAGGTCTTATGAGGTTTTCAAAAGCCATAGGTGGTTTGTACTCATGGGGAGAATAAAAAAATAAAAACAAACACAAAGAGACTGGTGAACCGTAATTTGATTGTTAGCTCAAGCGTTAAGCAGTGTAAGTGTTCAGGACTAGAAGTTAGAAGGCATTATAATGCTTAAATAGCTTTAATGTGACTGTTTGGGGCTAGTATTTTTGTATGTCAGATTCTCTTTGTGATTTATAATGATTCTGAATTTGAAATTCAGCTCAATTTCCTCCTTTGTTGTTTGCATTAGAAAGAATTCATTGCAAAGAATTCTAAAAAGAACTGATGTAATTTTATTTTAGGGCACATTGAATCTAAGACTACTACTTAAGTATTCTAATTAGGATCATCTCAGAGAACAGGGAGCATTTCCTTTAATATTATTTTTATTATCATTTATTCATTCACCTGTATTAATAAATATGATTTTTATAACTGGATAGTACATAGTTGCATTTTCTAACATTTGTGTGTGTGTGTGTTTGGAAATGTAAGGTTTGATATGACTCTGAAAGGTCCCCTGGATTGCTTTACCTCCTTCAGAAGGTTACCCTCCTTCATAGTTGAATATTCTTCCCTTTACAGAAAAAAAAGTCTTGGAGTGAGACCGTTATTTTATTTACCTAAACATCCACTTAATTTCAAAAAAATTCTCTGATCAAATATTTGAATGACAACGTCTGACCAGTGAAATGTTTGAGTTTTTTTTAAATTATTCCTGATCATAGCTTTCTTTCATTATTTTTATCAGAGGTTATCTTTGATTGTTGGGTATCTGTAGTGCTTCACTAAAATTTAATTTATGCTGTTGTGATTTCTACTTAGCTTATAAAATAATTTGTCAAGAGGATGAATGTGTGGGAAAATATCAGAGAATTCTAATTAAGAGCGTTTTTCTTTATTTGAGACTTTAAAAAATGTCAATAAATGAAGTGTGTTTTAATCCATTTATTTTTTCTTTGTCCTCTCAGGTGGATCTCCTTACTTAGCAACCAAAATAAATGAAGCAAAAGACTTGCTAGAAGCAACCACGAAACATTGATTGATGCTTAAGAATCATTCTGAAGGAAAAAAAGGGAGAATATAAAACAAAAAAGTCCTGCAAAGTAGTCTAAACCACGGTGTTCATAATTTTCATACATGTACTGACCACAATCATTTATTCCACTTTTAAGGTATATAATAATAAAAGATTAACAATCTATCTTTTATTATCTTTTTTTAACAGATTTTATTTATTTGAGAGAGAGAGAGCACAAGCAGGAGGAGCGGCAGAGGGAGAGGGAGAAGGAGGCTCCCCACTGAGCAGGGTGCCCGATGAGGGGCTCAATCCCAGGACCCTGAGATCCTGACCTGAGCTGAAGACAGATGCTTAACCAACTGAGACACCCAGACGCCCCTATCTTTTTATTATCTTTTAAAGGAACACCTTAAAATTCTATAACCGGTCTTCTTCATTTTCTTTCTTTCTCTGTGATAGTCATACATTTTAAGTTTTTATTCCATTAGTCCTAAGTTCCCCCAGCTCCCCGCCCTCACTCAAGTATCATCATCAGTAATGTGGGAATTATGAGCAATAAGTAGAAATTTTCTTACTGCTGATACTTATATTCACATTGTCCCTTGTTTCCTTAGAGGACTTTAGTACTCTGCCTATGTAAGGTTTTGAGATCAAACACTGCCATCCCATAAGAAAATGATCGGAAACTCAATCAAAATTACTAAGTGGTGTTTTGTAAAATAGTGGTTAGGACTTTTTCAGGAACTGTGTTCTGTCTGAGACCCTATAACTGAAGCATGAGAACTTGGAGAGCTACTAAAATGATTAAAGATTTGCAAAATGAGCCCTCTGAGGAAAGGCTGAAAAAGAGGTAGAAGAAGTCTGAGGAATTTGTCTTTAATTATAGCCTTCCAGTACTGTATATTTATTCAATTATTCATTCTGCAAATATTTATTGACCGCCTATAATGTGTAAGGCACTGTAGTGGGTCCTTTGAGAGTTACAGGTGTGAACCAACCATGGATCATGACCCCAAAGAAGTCACATTTAGAGGAAAGGTAAATCACACTATTAGAGAAGTACAGGTGATATGTTAAAGAAGTTTAAAAAAGAAAAGAATATTTTAAACTGAGCACATAAAGGAGGCGGTTCATAGAATAAGTGGCATGAGAGCTGGGCTTTAAATACAATTAATAAGAGATATACCACATGATTGATGAGTGGGTGTTGTTTCCCCTGAGATCAGTCACAATTAGCAGAAATAGGATTTATTAGTGTGATTAGAGTACAGGGTTTTTCAAAAGCAATGGATGGACACATGATCTTGAAGGACCAGCCCTTTAATTTACACTGCATATTATCTCCCCAGTCGCCCCCGGTCATCATCACATTACTATCCCAAAGCTGAGAAACCAGATTCAGATACAGGGTACCAGCATTATTTTCCAGTATTCCTTTACAAATCCTGGGTCATCCCAGGTAAACTGAACCACTTTATTTCATCTATCTTAAAATACCTTTTAAATACTGTGAAGGAGCCGCTTCATGTGGCTGCCAAGTCAGTACTGGCTTTGGCTGGGAGGTTCACCAGGGCGGTCAGCCAGGAGCCTCGATTGCTCTCCACATAGGCTTCTCCACAGGGCTGTGGAGAGAAGCATCATCGCACTATGGCGGCTGTGTTACAAGACAAAGTGAAAAGACAGGAAGTGGAAGCTGCGAACTCAAGCTGGGTCTTGGCAGTGGTTCTGATAGGCATCGAGCCTGCCTAGACTCAAAGGGAGAGGATATAGAGGATCGTGAAAAAATTGGTGGCCATTTTTAATAAGTAGCAAGGCAGAGTTTAGATTTCTTCCCCCCTTACTCAAATCAGTTAAGGCATTGCTTTAAAAGTTTTGTCAGGAGTGTAGAATTCAAGTAAACTAGAGTAGTTTCAGATGACACAAGAACACTCTAGGTAGATGTTAATTCAGTAGTCATTCTGTAAAAGGCATTGTACTTATGAAATTGGATTTTAAAAGCTACCTCAACTCCTTATTATCTGTAAAAAAGCTTATTTGAATGGTCACCTATCCTCAGTAAAGATGGCTCTTACATATTTGCTCTCATTGCATATTCTTCTTAATTAAGTTCTTTGTTGATATTGCAGTTTCTGTTTATTCTTACAACTTAGATGCAATCTGAGAGAGCAGGAAAGACCTTTTAAAAATAAAACAGTTACTTCCCAGATTCCAGAGAAAGTGTTAAGTCAAATGGACAGTTAATTAAAGGCAGCACAGAATGCCATTTAGACCATAGTTGATGGCGCCAATCTCCAGCATAAAGTCTAAAGTGGAGAGAAGTTCAGTAAGGAAAAAACTATGGTGATTGTGGAAGACATTGTTTTATTTAGTCTTCAAACCATTCCTTTTAGTTGGTTTGAAATGCATTGTAGTAAGTCAGCTAATATTAAATACTATGTCAGGCAGTAAAAATATAAAATAAGTACATTCTTAAAATGTGTAATATGCTCAAACTAAATAGAAAAAAACAGATTCTTAAATATAGAGAACTTTTTTTTCTCCTGATACTTTTGAATTAAGAAATACTGAAGGGCGCCTGGGTGGCTCAGTTGGTTAAGCGACTGCCTTCGGCTCAGGTCATGACCCTGGAGTCCCGGGATCGAGTCCTGCATCGGGCTCCCTGCTCAGCGGGGAGTCCGCTTCTCCCTCTGACCCTCTTCCTTCTGGGGCACCTGGGTGGCTCAGTCGTTAAGCGTCTGCCTTCCACTCAGGTCATGATCCCAGGGTCCTGGGATCGAGCCCCACATCAGGCTCCCTGCTCCGCGGGAAGCCTGCTGCTCCCTCTCCCACTCCCCCTGCTTGTGTTCCCTCTCTCGCTGTGTCTCTCTCTGTCAAATAAATAAATCTTTAAAAAAAAAAAAATACTGAATTTTATTACTAGGCATGCTTGTGATTACCCAGCTTGGTTATTAGAAATAACGTATTTTGTCCAAGGACAGAAATCCTTTGATTGTCATGGAGAATCTTGAATACAAAAAGAGCCTTTAATGACGTATCTTCAACACATTTGGCAGTTAGCTTAAGGTAGTTTACTGACATTTGTGGGAGGAGATGAATCAGCCAGGCCTTTAATGTCAAAAATACTGAAGTTTCTCTGACTCAACTCACTTAAGATGAGCTCCAGAGGCTGCAGTGCAAAGTTAAATATCCAAGTAGGCCAGCTCACTTTGCGCACTGGGAACCATACCATCCACAGGCACTCAGCTCCTCACCCACAGTCACCTCCTTAAAGGCCTCTGGCTCCAATGAGGATTTGATGGCAGTGAGGGAATGTGTCAGCAGCGTACCTCCCTCCTAACAGAAAGGCAACCCAAAGAGCATATCCCATTAACACTAGAGCAGTATCATCTACTTGTCAAAAGAATTCCCTGAAATATGGGCCGAATTTTATTTATGGTAGAGTTAGACACCTTAGAAAATTAGAATTTTAATTTATTAGCTGGAAAAGTTGAGAAGTTCTCTGGACTCATTTTTTAGGTAGAATCTAAGTGACCTGGATCATTGCCCACCAGTGAAATTGCTGGGCATGGTAGACAAAGAAAATGTTCCTTCTAATGATTTTTATGAGCTGAGTAGCTATTGTTCCCAGCTGAGTGCTCTTTTCCTTTTTTTATTGTTGCTGAGCAAAAGAATTTATAAAAAGCTTTTTTTTTTTTATTAAAAACCCTGCTCAATTGAAATGCAAGTTCATTAAGTACTATTCATTTCTCTTCCTGCCATAATAACCCTTTCCCCCTCTGCTCAGTTCAGTAGTGCCTAGCAGCACTGGTCAACATTTTAAGTCTGAACAGACTATAATATAGATAGAAATATGCAATCTCCAACATCAAGAGAGAGTTTTATTTCACATGGGCAGAATATGATCATTCACCCTAGATGTTAGCTGTAAATTTCACATAAGTACCTCAACTTAGAGGGGGAAGATGCCCCTGGAAAGTTAAATCAACAGTGGGAAACTTAATTCAGTTTTGACAAGATGAAAATCACATTGAAATACTAGTTCAATATTGACATCTAAGCTGTAGTGCTAAAGACTAAGAAATTGGAATCAGCTCGTTATCAGAAGTCCAAGAGATTTTATTAATAATAGCTAATACTTGTTGAGCACCTTGTGCCAAGCATCCTACCTACATTATCTTTTAATTTTCACAGTACCCCTAAGAGATAGGTACTATTTATATCCCCATTTTACAGATGAAGAAAGAAAAGTAAGGTCAGAGGAGTTTAGGAACTTTGCCAAACTATGTAATAAGTAGTGGGACTAGGATCCAAATCCAGTTTGGCTTGACCCTGAAGCACATACTGTTTACCTTTCCATTATACTGCACCAATTCTAGACATGTGGGAATCATTGTAAAATGAAGGGGCTTTCATGGCCCGGTACTCATTCTTTGATAACCCTGAACGTCGGGTTATAGATTGTAAAACGTTTCTGGAAGGGTCATGTCATTTGGCACTATGAACAAGGACTGCCTAATGGCTTGAATTCTGCCCTAGAAGCTTATGATGCCCATCCAGCTGCACATAGCGAAAGTTCACTTGTAGAGTTTAGCAGTGTCGGTTTCTCTGCCTTGAGTGGGGATCGACAAAACTTGGAAGAGATTTTATTTGAAACTTTCATGGGCAAAAACTTCCTAGGAAAAGATGTAGAGCAAAGTTCAGAAGACGGCTCGTGAAGCTGAAGCAGCAGACCTTGGGAGAGAAATGAAGAAATGGCTCAATATAATAAAGATGAGAATAAGAAGGCTGAATTTATTGAAAGGAAGAGAGGTAGTGAAAAAATTAAGGTTAACAAGAGAGACAACTGAACCAAGAAGAGATCACTTAGAGTATTTGAAAGAGAATTGCCAGTGCTCAGTAGAATTTTTCAAAATCACTTTCCAATATTCCCAACTGTGGACTGGGTTATTTGTTCATGCCATGCTTTTATGCCAAATTCCAGAATTACATTTTGCACAGTTAAAGGCTTGTCTAGTAGAACCCATAGATCTTTAGTCGCCCATCTAAGAATGTGTTTTAAGATTATCACTTAATTTTCTATGCTGTCAGTTGCTCTAATCAAACGGTGAAAAGGTTTCTAACTTCCAGAGATTTATAACTCCGTATAACTATAATATTCATAGCTGATTTGTGAGTTTCTT